ATGATCGGCAGAGGCTAGGCAATGTTCACAGAAAGAAAAAGAGAGATAAAGAGAGAAAACGAGACTTATAGAAATAAATTCAATTGCAAGAATAATTATCGCCGCTTATCCGGGTATAAAGTGGGATATCCTACGGCAGGACTCATGACAGCTACCAATTACCTTCATAAATGAGAAGCATTCAATTCAATTTTCATAAATAAAAGCTATTCAAATGAACGAAGTGGTGGGTTCAAGAAGAGGCTCGGGGGGAGTTAAAGGAGGACACGGTGGTGAAAAAGGATGGGGTGGGGTGCATCGAGAAATCAGAGGAACCAAGAAGAAGAAGAAGCAGCTGGGAGGACGAAGGACGAAACTGCAAAGGTTGAAGGCAAAGGAGGAGGAGGAGGAGGAGGAGGAGGAGGAGAGAGAGAGAGAGAGAGAGAAAGATAAAAAGGGTTAGGTGGTGAAGGAGGGAGAGGGGGAGTTTTCGTGGCGGGGAAGTGATCTAAGCGATGCGACAGCGGGGAGTAAGCTGGATATATTGCCGCCTAAGAGCGCGCTGTTTTCAACCAATTATTTCTACTTGTGGTTGCATGACGGCTACGGGCATGGCCGTCTCTCTCCGCGGGGTGGGTCGGGGGCGGCAGCGTACGAGAAAGAGGCGAGTTAATGCCATAAATACATCAGCGTTATGGATGCCAGCAATTATATGAGCCCGGACGAGGTAGACCGTCTCGCTGAGTATATACATGTATATGTATGTGTACGAGTATATCTACGTATACGATTTCTTTCTATTTTAGTGTGTATATGTTACTCACGTATATGTGTATGCTACCCATGGTATGTACGTATATATGACGACACCTTTCCCTGCACCTTACTATCCCAATACCACCTTGGTATCACCTTGCCAACCAATGGTCCGGTTCTCACGTTAGATCCAATCCATTGCCAATCGAATTTTTTTTTTTAAGTCTTTCACAGTTCTATTTCCTTTTAAAACCCTAATTTTGGGAGTTGGAATAAATTAGCAGGATTGATTTTACATTTGATTCGTTTAGTAGAGTAATATGATGCATTTTAGCAAAAGATATCTAACTTCGAGTTTCATTTATTTGTGATAGGGATAACAGAAGAAAAACGTGGAATTCGTTTCGCAATTATTTTAGTGGGGGAGATAATCGACGTACGTGTCTTCTTTTTTTCTTTTCGAATATTCTTCTAACGTTTAGTCGTAGATTGTCTCGCATTCCTTCTTGTGAAAATGCATAGATACTTTAAAAACGCAATAACGTTCCTAGCATTCGCTTTTAAATGCGGAATACCGATATAGGAGGCGTTGAGGTAGAATTGAAATCATCGTAGGCGGCAAGTTCGTGTGAGACATTTGACTTGCTTACTCGTGCTACTACAACTTTTCCATTTCTTTCTCGAGAAAGGTCGTTCGTGAGAAGATAAGATAGACTAAAAAAGGTGAAGGAAGGAAGGAAGAGGAGGAGGAGGAGGAAGAGGAGGCGGCGAAGGTGGACGAACGGAGGACACGGTGGTGCCGGGACGAAAATGAATCGAGTGATTTTATTCACGGCACAAATCAAGAGATTATTTCCTCCTCGCTGGACTCTGCTGGTTTTGCTTATACCTACTACTACTACTAGAAATACTACTACTACTACTACTACTACTACTACTAGGATGGAGAAGTCTCTCGCGCGCTCTTGTGAAATTGAATCGTTGCGTTCGTAGTCTTAAATTATACGTCGTCGCTCGACACCCACGCATACCAACTACCCCAAGATATTCGCGCGCGACCAACCGCGGCCCCAACCGACACAACTAAAGAGATAGTGGAGAGAAAAGAACAGAAAGTGTCTGTCCTTTGCGTGAACGTGTGTTCGAGAGAGAGAGAGAGAGAGAGAGAGAGAGTCCCTCGTGTTTTCTGGATTAAAACGTTTGTTTCGACGGGATTGCCTCAGCTCTACTCCCTCGCACCTAACTCCCATCACACCCCTTCTTCTTCGCCTCTACCACCCCATCACCATCTTTTATTACTTTACCTTTGGTGACTTTGCATTTTGTTCCCGAGGATATTATATACATACCTATCTACCTACCCGCACAACGTTTTCTGTATCCGATGTACTCTCTTTAATTTTCCTGCGAACGCCTCTGATTCTCGGATAATAATTTCCACTACGTATCTCTCTTCTTCTTACTTCTTTTTTTTTGGGGGGGGGGAATGAAGGACTCGCTATTAAGTGGACGCTCAAAACAAAATGAAAAAGGATTAGACATTGTTTGGTCTTTGAGAAGATAGAAAATGATCTAACTGATGACTTGAAATCTTCGCGGAAGTGTAAGGATACTTTCGAAAGGATATAAATTTGGTTGGCGCGCGATTCTCGTGCGAGGAGATCATAATTCTGGTACGTCCATCGTGCCAGGCCTCCATCCAGGCTTGGTGATTGGTCGAAGCCGCGGGTGTTCCCTCGTTGGGGCTTTCTGAGCCTCCTCCCCCATCCCCCTTCTTCTCCAACTTGCAAGATCTCTCTTTTAATCCTCGTGAAGGAAATAAAATGAAAAGGAAACGAAGAGAAAGAAAGAAAGAAAGAAAGAAAGATGGAAATAGAATGGGATGCTCAATTAAATCAGGACCGAGTCTTACGCTTCCACAAGCTTATCGGAATTATCTGGGTAGGCGTCGTTGCGCTTTTCATGGATCTTTCGATCGTTCGGCCGCAACTAAACCGCCCCGTGCTAGATCCACGATTCCGTGGAAACGATTCTCTCTGCCCTCCTCGATAAGTGCTCTCCAATTAGTGCGAAAATGTTTCTCCGCTGGTTTTTGCCGCGAGTGCACGACTCCAAGAGAGAGAGCTACCGATAGCGATCTTCAGGGAACGAAGATTCCGTGACCTCCGCTAGCTCTCGTGACCCTCCCACTTTTTCTCTTCTTCCTTCTTCTCTACCATTTCTTCTTTTTTTTTTTTCTTCTTCTTACTGTGTCTTCCGCCATCTTTTCGATCTTCCTAGTATTTGTCGATTAACGAAAATCGATTAACTTAACTGTCGGAATTTTATTGAGATTTGTCGATTCGCGAAGAGCATCTTCAAAACATTCGAGAGTTCTCCTTACCTTTACAGTGAATTCATTTAATCAGGTCAAACCTGGCACTTTTATTAAAACAACGTGCTAGTCATCCATATTGTAGAGTTGGGTAGGATTTTAGGTTAGGACATGATTCCTCCTGATGTTTGGAGATAGGGAGAGAATCATGGCTCGCGTGGGCAGGGTCGCATCCCTGAAGTAGATCCTATTTGCTAGAATTGCAAATAGTGTCTACCCGCTACCCCTTATTTTTGAACATTTCAAGATTTCTAATAACAATTTTCATAACTTTAATGCGGTTTAAACTTTGACACGTTGCCTCAATGGCTAAGTCCATGTCAAACTAAAAAAAAAAAAGAAACTTGTTAGGATTAGACCCACGGATTATTAGGTACAATCATATAATACCTTTGTAATATCTTTTTCTCAAATAATTTTGTGGGGATTTGCAAAAAGCAAATAGAGGTATCATCGACGAACATGTTAGCAGGGTCGATGTCGTAGCGTAAATCCTAAATGGTAGGTGGGTTGTCCAAAAGGTTGAAAAAGAGTGAGAGAGAGAGAGGAGAGCCGACTATTAGGACCATCACCAGGATGCTAAATGACATCGGTGGAGAGTGCTTAGTCCAGCTAAGGACGACATAAAGTTGCGTGTACGAAAATGAATGTTTGCTGGAATTTATTATTGCCGGTCCCGGCTCGTAATTCAAAGGAGGACTGGCGTTATCTTCATCAGTGACTGTGCACCGGCTCGACGGCTCACCGGTCTCTGCTGGCACTGCGTGAGCTCTCGCGAAGAACCAAACCACGTCTTTCGTATTAGAATATTTCCTTCCTTCTTTTAAAGGTTCCCCATACCAGTTCTCCTATTTATAAAAGAAATTAATCGGTTCTACGTGTCTGATCTTAACTCTATCCAGTTTTAAAAAATGGGATTAAATTAATGTCGTCTGATCGGTTGTCACAAGAACGACTTCATCATTCCGATGATGATGATCTTACATTTTTAACTGTTGTTCGAAACATTCAAAAGTATAGAATCAAGAAAAATAGGAGTTTAAAGTAAATCTTATTTTAGTGACTGGATCTTTACAACTTCGAAAAATATATATGCGCGAATCGAAGTCCCATCTGTTAGACATTTAAAATTTTATCTACGTAGCTTGATACGTAGGATGTTTTCCTGTAGATGGTCCGGATCTGTCGATAAGAGGAAAGATGCGAGTGGGTTTGGCAGCTATTTCGTGGAAATGCTCAATATTTTCGTCGGCGTTCGATCAGCCGTCAGAAGCAGGTAAGGATCTTGGAAAATAAGAGCAACAGAAGGCAAACCGACGTGTGGGAGTTACCCACGGTGAACGAGGGGCGGACATCAAACGAGTAAGCCACGGTTATATCGTTTGGAAGACTTTCTGTGAGATGGCGCTAGGAGTATTCTGCAATCCTGTTGGAATTCTTCGTTTCTTTTAATATTTTTTAATAATATTTAAAATGCACAATTGTTAGATGCAAATGAACTGAAATATTTGCAGTGGTAAATACTAGTCAAAATAAATAATTAAATTATTATTTTCTCTCGTCTCGAATTGGGCTCAACTTGGAAACAACGCAGACACTAACAAAATATTTGATTTGGAATAAAATTAAATATATGCAAAAAGAAAGGAAAATTTACTCGATGACACAGACTTGAAAGAACAATTATTCCATCCGTTAAAGGACTCGAATCCTTTTCTTTGGAGTCTTGTGTTCCGTAAGAAGATATTCCAGGGTCAAAACAAAAGACCTAACGTAAGAATAAAGAATAGATAGCGTCGACGGGATGGCAGGGGCAACAAAATAGGCGCGAGACAGAAGAACGCAGAAGAAGTGGAGGTTCCCGTCGTCGATCTGAAAACGTAAACGAACAATGGTAAGTCCCATATCGAAGCAGCAACAGCAACAGCAACAGCAACAGCAACAGCAGCAGGAGCAGGAGCAGAAACAGCAGCAGCATGATACCAGAACGAATAACAGGATGCGAAAGGAAAGAGGGTTGACGGTGGAGGAGGAAGAGGAGAAGGTTGGCAAAAAAAACCCAAGAAGAAGAAGAAGAAGAAGAAGAAGGAGAGAGGGTGATGGGACACGATCGAAAGACCAAGAGAGGAAGAGAAGAAGAAGAAGGCGAGAGAGCAAGGCACGGCAGGACAGCAGGTGCTTTGTCACCGCGCGAGTAAATCCGGCCGGGTTCTGCGATGCTCCTTCCACCTTGACTCGCCTTCTCTTCGCCGTCCTCCGCACGCATGCTTTTGTACCGATGACGTCATTGAAATATGGTTGCCCTTTTTCTTGGCTCGGTGCTTCTTGGCTCGCGTACTACGAAGAAGAACAAGTAAGTAAGAGGATGGTGGTGGTAAGTTGGATCGTCGTAGGGCCCGGAGAATTGGAGAATACGGGCCTGAGCAACCGGGCCAGTACAGCGCCAGGAGAGAACGAACGTTTTTGTTTCTTGGTGACATTTATTTGGGCGCGAGGGGACGTGGGTCCTCGCTTTGCATAAGTCAGGTGTACTGGTGTGTGAGTAAAGGCACCATGTTATAAATCCTGGCGCGAGGAGACTGCCCAGTGGCTACCTCTCACTCTCCCTCCTCTTTTTAAGCGTCCTTTTCTCCTTTTCTACGTCCGTACACCCGAAGCGCACTATGGTGTACCCTATTCTGCATATAATGCACTCAAACCAACGTTTCGCCCTTCCACCATTGTATCTCTTTCTTTTCTCTCAGTCCTTTTTCCTTCTCTTTTCCTCTATCCCTCACGGATCCCATGGTTGCTCATGTACGTCCCACTGGCGCAACCGTTGATGACCCACGAAAGGATCATTACCGAGCCAACGAGGTGCACACTGTATGTTTTTCTTTTTCCCATTCCTGCAACTCTACCCTAAGAAGTAACGCGTTTCTCTCGCCGGTAAGAGAAGGTAAAAGAGCAAGAGAAAAGAGCAAGAGAAAAGAGCAAGAGAAAAGGGAGAGTATCCTGGCCGAAGGCTCGTTTGAATGCTACCGGCGGTACCGAAAACTAACGAGCTGATAAGGTTGCAGTTCCGCGAAGCCGTGGGCGGACAGCCGAGTAAATTAGACCGTCTTTCTGGAGACACGTTTCCGACCGATCCGGCTTTTCTGAATCCTCTGAATTTTTACCTCTCATCAGATGCGGATCGACGACTACTCTCGAATATATCGAATGCTGCGTGTGCGTGTAAGCGTATCTCATCCAGTATCCTCATCTTAATAAGTGGATTTTGTCGTTGGCCAAATAATCGAAAGACGAAAAACATCCCCTCCCCCTACCCCTTTGGTTTTTTTTCTTCCCTCAACGACGTTGGTACTTATCCAATTTTTAGCAAAAGGAAGAGATACAGATACGGTTGAAACATTTCATCGGGGAAGAAATTTTCAGATCGTCGATAATATCCTCTCGAAGATGATAGAACGGACGAGTTAGGTTTGAAATCTTTATAGACCCAGATCGCATGAAATATCGCGATCGGTGAAGTTCTTAAACGATCGGAACACGTTGCCTTGCTGCTGGTGCTGCTGCTGCTGCTCGTACGAGCTGAGATGCGATGCGCTCAGCTACAACTTCGTTCTAGCGATCCTTTAAAAAGATCGTTCCACGAACGAACCCAGTCCGGGCAATCTTAAATCGATATCTCGAGTGTTTAGTAGATTTAAGGTCGAACTACGGACACATTTAATCCGATCGTAACGGTCGATCCACGTTTCCCGTAGCTCATCGTAACGGACGGCAACTGCAGTTGCGCCGCACTCTACGTAATACGCGATAACTCTCCGCTTTCTAATAATTCTAACGAACTCTCGAGGACTCTATCGATTTCAGGCTACATAGGTATTACTTAGGTAATATAGTAAGTCAAATAGAACAAAAAAATAACTACTTTCCTTTTCGTGATCGATAAATCTATCTGTTCGTTTTTCATTTTTTTCTTTTTTTTTTCATAGTCACGAAAAAAGGATTAAAAATATATTCACGATGACCTAGCGTCGTCAGCTAGAAGAAGAGATAATACTCAGCAAGCTTGGCGAATCTTCTGGACTCCTCTCAAAAAAAAAAAAAAAATAAAATAAAATAATAAGATAAAAAAAAAGAAAATAAGAAGAAGAGAAAAGGAAACATAAGACGTCGGTACCCGGCACTTTCGGTCTCGAATAATTCACATGGGGGAGCCGTTTAAACGTCGAGGCACGTCGCCGGACAGGTGTAGGTATCGATTAGCATAAGGTAACGACGAGAAAGGACGCGTAAACACGTCGAGTCTGGGCGATCGATGGATCATGATCGCGCCGATCTTTCCGGCGATCGTGATTAAAACGGACTCCTTCAAATGAGATAGAAAGAAAGAAAGAGACAAATCCACACAGCATTCGACGGTGGCCAACTTGGCATGCATCATTTGACTTTTTTTATTTTCTTGCTTTCATCTTTTATTCGATCGCATTTGTTTTTCTATTTTCTGTCCTTTTTATTTGCTAGCACAGAGAGAGAGAGAGAGAGAGAAAGAGAGATAGGGGGACTCTGCGAGTAACCTTGGCTGTGATTAACACCCAAGAAAGTAGAAACACCGGCTCAAGCATACAACCGAAGCGGCTGCAGGTTCAAGGTCGCATCCGTGAGAATGATCGACGAATCTTTTTCTCTCATTTACCAGTTGAGGTAAGAAAATGTCGATTTTTAGGAAGCTCGAATACAATACAGTGAATCTTTCTTCGTTCCTAAGAGAAAAATCAACGAAAAGAATGTTAAAAAGAAAATGGTGGATGGTGAAAAGGAAGTGAGGAGGGTAAAGACGATGATATCGAAAGTTTTACGCACATCGCGGATGTAATGGCCTATTACCGAGCACGCATTGTAACGAGCAGCAGCTTGGTCGATGTTAATGGGGATGGTGGTCTTTTTTTCGTAGTAGAACTTGCCTTCTGGTAGCCACCGAGCATCTCTCTCATTCTATCTTACCATAGTCTTTTTGTTTCTTTCTCTTTCTCTCGCGTGTGTACGGCTTGAGGAACGGCGACCCTTATAAGGGCTGTCACCATGTGTTTGTGTGTGTGTATGTGGTTCGCTCGGATAGGATAATAAGATACTACCTCCTTGCTTCTGGATCCTGGACAACGGGCGGTGGCCGTCCCGGATCGTGACCATCCTGTCACGAGGCGACGCACACCCATGCTCGTGCCATGGGCCCTTCTTCTTCCTACGTTTCTTCTCTCTCTCTTTCCCTTTCACCGATGGAAGAGAAAGAAGACTACACTCCCCCGCGGTTAGGTGCTGCTACGCGTCCTTGTGTGAGAATCGATAGCCCTTCTCTCTTACTATGGGAACATCTAAAAGTATATCCCCCTACATCCTGAGGCAACTTCTTTTTTATCCTCTTTTTTTCATTAAAATAATGAAAATACAACATCAATGAGAAATGTGCTATTTTAAGAATTAAAATAATCATTTTTTCCATTGAAATCTCTAAAAAAAAATACGACCAATCGATTAGAAATGATTTGAGAACGAATTAGCACAAATTTAATCTAATCTGATCTGATCTAATCACTAAGTTTTATTAAATATAATAAAATGAAGTATAATCGTTGTAATTAGTTAAATAAATTTAGGGTAGCTTGAAAAACAAATACTTTTGAGGATGAAAGTATACGTATTTGCGTGTGGGTATGTATAGGGTGGTCGAGCATCGAAGTTCACGAAGGATCGAACGCACCAGGGCCTCTTAGATCGTATCGGTCGAGCGAGTTTACGTAGAAAGCCGCGTTCTACCAGCGAGCATCCAACCGATCGAGACAGGTCCACCCCTTTCCTCCACCTCCCTTCTGGACTTCTGGTATCGCACTACGAATCGTCTCCTGAATCTTTCGCGCATATATTATCGTGTACGGACTGTGCTGAAAGGTTCCGAGTCCTCCTCTTTTAAAATTATAGCTATGGCTATGGGTATGCATATCTTGATCGATTACCAACAATTATTTCAGGATTATGCAATTTTTAGGTATTTTAATATTGATGCAACCTATTTCCCGATATTAGTCGCAAGTTTTAGACAGGAAAAAGTTCACGGATGTTGTTTTATTCTTTGACGAAAAACCATAAGACGTTTATGGGTCCATATAGTGGTTGGTTGAAGCAAACTGATCGGTTCATAAAGCAATCAAGCTCGCAATCCCCGCAATGCTCGCAAATCAACTCGAGAGGGGATCGTTGGTTGGGTCATCTGAGCATTTCACTTCACCGCGGTTTTGCGGTGCAGCTTGAGAGACATAATGTTCCTGAAGAAAATATCATATATATATAATACACATGTACAAGGTGCTGGATACTTTTGCGCTACTTACTGGAAAGGTAAGTACTTACCTACTACAACTACTATTACTACATAGAAAGATCCACACACAAATATACACATGTGTAGTTGCGATAGGACGAATTATGGATCGGTGTATCCCATCGTGAAAGCATCGAAGAACCGAGTGCAACACCGAACCTTTTTCTTCTTCTTCGTCTCTCACGATGGTGGATGGACCGCGGTGTGATACACGCGAGGCGACGCTCTTAAATCACTAGGGACCGAAAGGCCCCTCACCTCATTCCCTTAGCTTGGAGAGACTGGTGGGGGGACATGCAAGATTGCTCCGAAGGGGTCTGCTAGTAAAAAAAGATGGATTTATAAGGGCCTGCAAGAAGAAGGCTTGGCGTTTCGAGGATTTCTCTCGTTTGCAAACTCTCCACGACGACGTATCGTATCCTATCGTATCCGAGAGTCTTACCTTATGCCCTCTCGCCTCATCCAATCACGAGTCGATCGCTGGAACCTTCCCTCATTCTTTCTATCAACGTATTTTTATATAATTTTTTCAGATCAGCCGACCAATCGTTAGGACTTTGAGAATATGACAGGACACCAAGTGGAAGAGAGAATCCTATGACATTTCCCTCGGGAGAGTTTCGAATACCTACACGTCCTCTCTGTGTTCTTTATCGTCCTTCCGGAATGCTTGATAACGTTTGATTTGTTTCAATCGTAAATATCAGAGACAAGAGCGCAATATGGGTCTTCCCCTTTTCTTTCCCTCAACAAAAGGGACGAGTAGGTTGAAGAGCATACGTGCTAACACGCGTGGGATCTCAAACTGCATCCTAGATGAGAAAATAATAATTTTATTATTATTAATAAACGCGTGTCACCACATCTTTCGTTAAATTTTCCATCATCACTAGTATCAAATTGTTGGAATACATTTAACATAAAATCTGCATATGTGAGTTTATGGGTCTTACTTAATAAAATAAATGATAACAAAATAAGTAGTTGAAAAATGATATGACAGTGTCATCACATATTAATAAGAATTTCCATAGATGTAAGTTTTACAAAACGTTAGATCGTTTAGAATGAAGAAAGTTGGTTGTTGTTTGTAAAGATTTACGATAGAGAAACGAGGAAGAAAATTTGTCGATAGCAAGGATCGATCCCTCTTCGTTACAAGCTCGTTACAGCTTGTATTAATATTTCAAAGATTCGCTTATTCGATATACAGGCTTGCGGCGATACGTCACGGATTTATTTAGGACTCTCTCGAAGAAACAGAGTCTTGCTGCTCGAAGACAGAAAAACAGGTTGCAATGCCGTAGGACGTGGCCCTAAATTCCAAAAGACCGATGATGGTACCGAACCGAGAAGGAAGCACCAACAGCTGGATAAAGAGAAACAACAGAACGAAGAAACGAGAAAGAGAAAGGGAACAAGATGGAGGGTGGAGTAGAATCGACGGGAATACACGGACGAATCTGCGCATCGTGGTTTTTCAATCGGGTTTCGGTGAGTCCTTTAATTCGTCGTCGCTCGAAGGATAACACTTTTTTCTTCTCCTCCTATCCCTCCCCCTCTCTTTTTTATCTTTCATTTTTTATTCCTCCTATTTTCTCAACAGAAGAACCCCACTTCTTATACATGAGTTTGCGTGTGTGTTTAGTTTGAAACGGGAGACGACGTAGGGACTTACTATACACGCAAATGCACACACACACACACACAGACGTAGACGAAGGTTTCACACGCGTGCACACGCGTGTAGAGTCCTCAGCGCGAGCCGCGTTTCTCTGCATTTGCATTCTCGGCGCAAGAGGTGCGCACGCCGACAAGACAGGAGGCATCGAATGTTTAATTCAAGATACGGCAAGAGAGACAGAGAGAGAGAGAGAGAGAGAAACGGAAGGAGATAGGGAGAAAGAGAGATGGAATGAGAAGAAGAAGGAAAAGGGAAGAGAGAGAGAGAGAGAGAGAGAGCGTAGGGTAGCAATTGATGGGACAGGGTGGCGCGTTTGTTGAGCTAATTACTGTAAGGCGAGGCGCTTACGCGCGCCGCTACATACAAACGGCATTAAAGGTGGTGGCCATCAATCCCTGTGGGGCCCCTGCCGCCCGCCAAAGTCCTCTTTCTCTCTCGTCTCTCGTCTATCTCTTTCTCTTACTCTCTCTCTCTCTCTCTCTCTCTCTCTCGTGAGACACGGTACCCTCCCACGGGATATGGGTGCCTCCAAATTAATTGGCAGGAAGCTACGAGCCGTACACGAGTGCCGCACGAATTTGCGAATTTCCTTATCCTGCTCGAATTCTCGATCCACCATGGAGATTACTTGAAGAAGCCGGCTGTCGTAACTTTTCAAAACTGTTCAAGTATTACATATTTTTACCTTTTTTATCCTTTTTTATCCTTTTTTTTTTTTTTTATTCTGCTCGATAAATATAGACCGTTCTTCTTCTCTTTACATTTGAAATTCTCGAACTTAGAAGAAGAGAATTTCTTGTTTAAATTGTTACGAGCGAGATATTCAACGAAGGTGATTTTGATATTTTGGTATAAGTGGTAAAAGGAGGAAGAAGAAGGTAATGGCCAAATCTTCTACCTGACGAGGATCGCCGCTCCATGGTCATTAAGAAATTAATTGATGGACACGATCTACCGTCCTTTCGTATGTCGCTGCTGAATCCTTGATTCCACTGAATTTTCGATTCTGAATGTGAATTGGATTATTTCTTTAAAGGGTTTGTTCCATTTTAGACAAAAAATATATATCAGTATCTTTATACCTGTATTCGTTCAAATTCCAATATTTTTCTTTTTTCTCTCTCTCTATAGATTAACTCTTAAATGAAATTCACAAGTTTCGATATTAATTCGAGAAAAATAAAATACAATAAACTTCTTGAAAAAAAAAAACAAAAAAAAAAAAAACAATAAAATCAGAACGATAGTCAAATTATTGAAATTAATTGATATTTTTCTTTTTTTTTTTTTTGTATCGTTGATCAATCCCATGCATATTTATCTTTACCGAACGAATAAAAATCACTGGTTATTGATAAAATATTTTATATTCAAAGAAAATAAATTAGTATTCATATGATATATATATTTTTAATTTTTAATCCATTTTAATTCGGAATAAATAACAAAATAATACGCGTATATTATATTATACATATTTATATAATAATAATAATAATAATAATAATAATAATAATAATAATAAACAAATATACATTAAAAATAAAATAAACATAAAAATGAATATTCCCATACATTTGGATCATCATTGATTTTTCTTTTATAACAAAATGAACAGCAACCAATCAGTAGTTGGTAACTTCAATTATATTCTAAACACAATAAAAAAAAAGGTTGTAAAAAGGATTCTTAAATGATTACTAAGTTGATAATTAAGACGAGCACGCACGCGTGTGCGTGAGTTCGTTCTCCAACACCCGCTGTCGAAAAGCAACGTGACATGGAGAAGCTCACGCGAGGAGAGAGAGAGAGAGACCTGTCCGAGAAGGAGTATCCTGACAAAATATATCGTTTCTCTTTCATGGTTCGACCTCCATGGAATTTCAGCGATTTTACCGGTGCCCAAGAATATTCCAAAGATCTTTTTTTCTTACTTTTTTCTCGACGCTTTCAAGAATCTTCAGGATTTTGTTCTAAAACGTGACACGAAAATAATCCAAACCAATGACTGATTGCTATCATTGAAGGCTAACTACCTACTATATCTAATGAAATGATTAGAAATGTTGTTAAATATATTTTCATTCTTAACATTGAAATAAATATATAAAACTATGGGAAAGAGTGTTGTTTCTAGATTTGAAGTCAAAGGTGTATATACTGGTTTCTCGAATCGATTCGAGATGGTCGAAATAATCGCCGTTAAAGGTTCGAGATTATCAAAGGGTGATCTTGTCTTTAGTATAAGTTTTCAAGTGTAATCGGAGAAATAAAGTCTGCAGAATTTCCCGATTCGCTGGACGCTCGACTAGGCTCGTAAAGAGAAGTTGCAGTGGTGTGTTCTGACGGTAACTTGAGGCTGCAGAAAGAAAGAAGGAAAGGAAAGAAAAGAAAAGAAAAGAAAAAGAAAAAGAAAAAGAAAAAGAAAAGAAAGAAGGAAACAAGGAAGGGAAGATGCGTCGAGGACGATGGCCATCGTCGTCTTACCGACCCTAAGTCCGCTTACCTTAGTTACATCTTCATTAAACGCTCTACCTAACCGCTCCAATGTTGAGAGAATTCTAGTCAACTTTTTATCTTTCTTGTCCTATCAGTTTCTTTATCAGTACTTTCTAATAAAAATGTCTAATACATATAGGTTCTACTTCTTACAAAATTATCCCTTCAAACTTCTTTGTACGTTCAACCCTCTTACAAAATGGTTTCGATACAATCCGATACGATCTCATTGCGACAATCCACGTATATATATAT